GACCCCTCCACCCCTTAGATATCATTATGATCTGGCTTAAATAATCACTGAATATAGATCTGAAGAGATAATGTCATAAAAAATACATGCATGCGGCGAGACAGCGGACATATATTCTTGGAGACATCTTCCTGTGTAAAGTTGTAGACACGTGTGACATTGTGGGATCAGTGACCTTGATTCTTAAGTACACATCAAACCTAAATCACAGGCTCTATAAAGGTTCCACCACCTGAAGAGCCAACTTTCATACAAAGGTCTTCTATTTCTAAGATTCAATCGTTGAAAAAAAAAATTGTCTATTTGATGCAATGTTTATGTAAGCTGTTAGCAAGAACATTAAAAACAGCCTTCTCCTAGAGCAGTGGTTCTCAACTGGGTGAGATTTTGCTCCTTAAGGGCCACTAGGCAATCTCTGCAGACAATTTTAGTCATCCCAATTTGGGGAGTGTTGTTGGTATCCAGTGGGTAGAGGCCAGGGATTCTGCTAAATATTCTACACTGCACAGGACAACTCCCAACCACAAAGAATAACCCAGCCTGAAGTGTTAACAGTGTTGAAAATTCTGTTCTAGAAAGCAGCATACTAAATGTTCTTCAGAACCGGATTCCAGTAAGGTTGGGGGAATGTACAGGCTGAAAAACTAGCTGAATGAGAGCAGTCTGTTGTTGTTTTAAACCTTAAACCACTGCTCTCTTCTTTCTGGCCCATCTACTTTGCAAATCCTTTATTCCACAACCTCCCTAAACTAACTACCGAGCTGGCTTGTTCCCATACCAGTTTGAAATCATATCCTAGTCTTTAAAGCAACCCTCCTAGGCTGTGTTGTAAGCCCGAAAAGGAGGAAATGATGCTGTAGGGAGAGAAAGCAGGATTTCCGAAAAGCTAGATAATGCAAGTACACAGTCCTGTATCTGACCTACACCTTTTTTCTCTTCTTCCCACTGACTATATCAAAAAACTTATTCTGGAGAATGGAAAGAGGCAGGAAGTATTAAGAAGAGATGCTCCACTCTCACCTGATACTGGAGAGAATATGAACTCATGGACAGTAACAGGATATTGAACTCAGAAGAGAACCTGGTCAAGTGTATGAGGAAGTAGAATAAAACACCCTAATTTAGAACAAAATTTGGGGAGTTAGCTGAATGTTTTCACACACCCTCAAAAAACATATTTATGGTAGCTCCCAAAGCAAGAACAGATTTTATATTAAAATGTAACTATGTAGAAGTTTTGCAATGTAAATTAAAGTTACATGTTGCCATTTTACGAAAGACACCCTTGGCTAGTATAGAACAGAGACACAAGTCTCTATTAAAAGGATCTTAATACACCAAATAATTTTTCCCCTGTAGGTGATTCTAGTTTTATATGGATATTTTGTCCTACATCTTATATCCTTATTTAGAAGTAGATATACAATAAGAAGTTTTAGACTCACAAAGTCAAAAACCAAAACCAACAAGGTAAAAGAGACAGTAAAGTAACAAAAACCTACGAGGGAAAAGGGAAAAATAAAGTACCCTGATCTTGCAGATTTAAAGCAGAGGTAACCATCACTTCTGAAACAAACTATACTCTTCCTGAAAGTAACAAATCCCTTCACTTGTATTCATTTTACTTTTCCATAGTTAAGTAAAAAACCAATTAGTCTAAAGCAGGGCTGGGCAAAGTCTGGCCCATGGGCCATATTAGGCCCACAAAATTGTATGGTCTGGCCTTGCCAAGGCAACTGCAGGAAAGACCTGAAATTCAATAAATCTAGAAGCTTTCTTCATAGCTAATTTTTGAGTTGATAATTTTGTATGGCTCACAAATGATGATATAAATATCCCAATGGCCCTTGGAAGAAAAAGGTTCCCCACCCCTCGTCTAAATGTGGGTTTTTGGCTAAGATTATGTACAATTTAAACACTTTCTTAAAAGAAAACAATATATTGAACAGTTATTATCCTTTAATAACTGAGAAGCTTCAGAAATATTCTTAAAGAGATTCTAAGAAATGTTAAATTTAGCACTGGACCAGTATCCATACACATTTTCACTTAGGACTTCCCTTTCCTTGTCTATAAATTGACCTCTAGGTGAACTTCACTGGTATAGTCTCCTGTTTCCCTGGATCCTGGATACTTTAGTCTCAACACAGAGATACAGTTTTAAAGTCAACTTCTATGAGCTGATCCTCTGCTACTTCTCTGATCTTACCTCCTATACCTACCCCCCTCCGCCCCCACTCACTCTGCTCCAGCAACACTGGCCTCCTTGCTGTTTTGTGAACAAGACAGGACTATTCTAGCCTTAAGGCCTTCACACTTGTTCCCTAGGCTGTAGACCACTGCTTTTCCCCACAGAACCACCTAGTTTGCTCCCTTACCTACTAAAGATGCCATTTTTAATGAGGCCTTCCCTGAGCAATCTACCGATAGAAAATACAGCAGCTCCTCCCTCAAAGCAGTCTCTACCCTTTACCCAGTGTTATTTTTCTCCATAGAACTTATCACCATATGATACACTATATTTTACTTGATTGTTTTCTGTTTTCCATCTTTATATTGTCCACTACTGTACTGCCAGTAGTTAGGACAATGCCTGGCTCTGTTGAATATTTGTTGAATAAATGATTATATCTTATCAAGCATATGAAAAGTCGTGGCAGTCACTGACTAAGAGCTGACAATAATCCAGAAATGTTCTGATGTATCTATTAGACTATAATAACTTAGCCTATAATTATAATACTATAGTCTAAAATAATAAAGCTTCTAATATTTTTAATTTTTAAAAAATTAATAGATGCTCAACTAAAAGAAAAGTATATAAAATACTTTATTCAGATCACTGGTTAAGGTAAGCCCTAGCTAATCATTACCCAAATTGTGGCAAATTACGAAAGTTCCAGATTTGGTGTAGTATCCAAGAGGCAGTATAAACTACCCCCCACTACTAAATTACTCGCCATAGTAAACTTTGACTAATTAACTCCTTATTTTACTTTGTCTTTACTTACTTATTCTGAGGTTCCTGCAGCAAGACCCAAATAGACAATGATTTAGCTGCCAGCTGGTATTAAAAGAAACTAACTTCCAAGAAAATTATGCCAGCATCCCAATAACCAAAGCAAAAGTTGCATTTCTACATATTCAAATCCAATTCTCCAGGCTGCCCTCTGGAAACATTTTCTCCCCCTTTAGGTATGGAGAAAAGTAGAGAAAAGCAAAGAAAATGGAAGAATTTTAAACAGCTCTAAACCCCAAGTAATAGTTTCATATTAGTAATGGTAATATTAGCTTTTGATTAATCAAATTGAAAGCATATGAAAACTGCATTTTCTTTGCCCAAATGTCATACAAAAAGCCTATGTTTAAAGAACAAACAAAAACTATGAGCATAATACCTGTGTAGTGAAGAGAACCCCGGACTTGCTTTCACTGATATCTGGGCACTGCTAGCTCTGACTTCATGTTAATCACACTACAACTCCAGACCGTCAGGTGTCGGATGAGAAGGCTGGACTAGAATATCCTCTCCAGCCATGCCCTAGCAGAAATCTGATGTTTCATTGTTAAAACTAAGCACACATGATTTGGTTTACCTACCCCTAACTGCACCAACATTTGAGTGGAGAAAATGAATTCAATTAAATTTTTTTGTTCTGTTTTTTCTTACATCGTTGACATCTGCCAATGTTTATCACCTCTTAAGCATTAACAGATGATAAAACAGACATCATCATATGCCATTCATCACATGTATTATTTCGTTTGACCATCACAAAACACGTATCATCTTCTATATGACTAAGGTTTAAAAAGGTGATATAATCTGGGCAAGAACACAAAGTAAATGGTAGGGCCTAGCTTTAATCTTAACCCCCCCCCATCCCAAAGTCTGGCCACTGAACCGCTGCACTACATTCTTTCCATAGACCAATACACTAAAATATTAATAGCATTAGTCTTTTTTGGGTGGATGTGTGTTCTTGACTGATTACGCCATGTGATCACCTTTTTCTGTTTTTAACTAGCAAAATTATTCTTGGTTCTTATGATGCACAATGATCCGCACGAGCACAACCATCCAAACGGAGACGGCAACCCCTGAGCTCCATCTCTGAGAGCTCTCCAGGGGGTTTCCAGGACTCACGCCAGGAAGTACGACGACAGCGAGTTCAGAGCCTAACTTCACAACACGCATCTCTTTAGTAGCGACACCTTGGGCGTGGACAAGAGCTCTCTCCCCCTCCGGCAGGGAGGGAGCTCACGTTGACCCATCAGATCTCTGTCACTGCTTTGTTCCTTCCCCTCAGCAGTCTGCCCAGAGCCCTTTCCGGGGGGCACTTTCAGGGTCAAAATGAGACCCTGGGACTAGCGGGTCCCCGTCACGGTCCCGAAGCGGCGGCCGCACGGACACAGGTGTACTTCCCTCCCCGCCGGGCGGGGCTAAGGACCACATCCCGCTGGGACCCGGGCCCTCAAGGCCTCCAATCAGACAACGACTAAAGGAGCTGGGGCGGGGCGGGGGGGAGCAGGAGCTTTTTAGGAGTCTCCAGGCCGCCCGCCCGCCGGGCCGCCCGCCTTCCCTCCGGCGAAAGGCTTCCCGTCGTCTTCCCTCGAGACCCACAGACCAAGGGAGCCAGCCCTCGCCC